AATTTAGTTTACTAGTCTGGAGTCTCAGACAAAGACACCCTTACAAAGGTGCACACTGCACAGTAAAGCAAAGTGTGGCCCATACATATGCAAATACATTTACACACAAACACAGTAACTGTGCTCGATCTGAATGGTTAAAGTGGTCTGGAGGCAAAGACAGATCAATGCCTTCCAACACTTTATGAGATTATAAAGTCCAACAGAGGCCATGGCTCTCATATCCTTTACCCACATGCTTATGGGAAGTGAACTTCTCTACAGCAAAGTTTCAGTGTAAAAACAGTCAATGTCTGTGCAAACTGATGATTTCCAAACCTATAATGATAAAAGGTGTGTAGGAGAGGAAATGTTAATATCACACAATGTTTTACATATCAACATTCTAAACTGTGATAGCAAAACAAGTTTAACTGTGGCTTATGGTTTTCCTGCTTCTGACAGCACTGACAGGGCAGTTCTCTACAATTACTGCCTAAAAACCACTGAGACACAACATCGTCTTACGTGTTTTCAGTAACTAGGGATGGAAATCGTAAGAGATTTAGTGAGTCTGGTTCTATTGCCAGGTTCTTCTTAATGCTTCTAGTTCCTTAATGGTTCAATTAACTTATCTTTTAATACTTTTGAGTAAGAAATATTTGAGACAAAAAAAGTCATTATTATTGCATTTTCCACCTTCTGTAGTATATTGGCAAAAATTATGATTTCAGATTTCATATTTTTGGTTCATTTCGAGATCAGACACGATGAAAGTAATAACTTGTAGTTCAGTAAGTAAGTCTGATTATTTCAGCAACAGCTATTAATTAATTTAGTAATAATATTCAATGTTTTTGATTTACTAAATAGATAATAAGAGTCATTCGTTTTAGAACTGGACATTAGTTGCTGTAAGTTTCGTGCAGTAGATTCAGTTGTGGAGTTTTTGTCCACATAGGTGAAAGAATGCACAAAAACTGAATGTTATGGTAATCATACTATTCTGATATTTTTTAAATACAGTATGTGAAACTTAACTGGGCCAATTAGTAGCCCCTGAGGAACACCATGCTGCCATATTTGATAAAATTGCATGTTTAACATGTAACGACTTCAACAGAAGTATTAAAACAAAGGGAGGCCATGTAGAATTAAGAGCCATTTAACGATACATTGACAGGGTGAAAGAAATTAAGATGGGTAGGTACCTGAGGGTTATCCATGTACCACACCAGGCTGCCCTCCGTTGTGTCCAGAATGAAGTAGCGACGTAAAAATTTGCCGCTATTCTCCATTTCCTCTATGTCTAGAAAGCCACAGATCCGATTCTGAC